GTGTACATACATACATACACACACATATATACAGTTTTAATTGGGGTGTGTACCATATATACAATAAAGTGCAACCCATTTATATTTAAGAATAAAACAATAGGAAAGCTGTGTACATGAGTAGGCCTGTCAACTAGCAGGTTTCTGATTTAGGGTAGTGAGAAGACCTTTACTTGGAAGGCCTCTTGATGAGGCCTTCTGTGGTCTTAGAGGGCAGGTTGTTGACTGTAACTTACTTTGCCTTATTTTCATCAGTCTCCAGCCCTCCATTTGTTTTCTCTCATTCACAAATTTGTTGAAATTAACAATAGCCTTTGTTCACTGTACTTGTGAGTTCAGAGTCTTGTATTTGTTCTTGCTGCTTGTTTTGTGTAATTCTACTTAGTGTCAGAGGGTTGGGCCTTATGACTTCTCAAGGACACTGAAATAATTTGTACAAGTATGACTAGAAATTCACAGGAATAGAGAAAGTGTTGCTTTGCCAAAGAAGTATCTATCAAAGTCAGGTTCCTAATTGGCCTTCCTTTTTTTTTTAATTCAACTTAGAGCTTCTTCCATGTAGTTACCATTGATAAATCATTTAGTAGACTAATGGTTATAGCAAGAAGTTAATTAATCCTGGTTTCAACTCTTGATTTAAATAGCTGCAAGTATTTAATACACTTTGTTGCTCCATTAGAGAAACAAAAAGTTGGTTTATTTGATCTTGATATTATATTATATTGTTTTTTAATCACCACACTTCACATAATTTTTTATTGTAGAATAACTACCTGCTTAGGAGCTCTGGTGTCGTAGTGCCTAAAGCATTTGACTGCTAACCAGAAGGCTGGTGGTTCAAACCAGCCACTCCTCGGAAGGTTGGGCAATCTACCTCTGTAGTGATACTGCCTCAGAAACCCAAGGAGGGGTTGCTATGAGCCAGATCCAATTCCATGGCAGTGAGTTGGTTTTTTTTTTTTTAAATTAACAGAGACAATTTTGGAGAGATTTTGTTAGCATTTGTGCTCTTCACTAGGAACTTAATTTCAGCCTTCAAGAATACTATATTTTTATCTAGCACTCTCTCATCCCAGTTTTAATTTAAAGAAATTTCTTAGAATTATTTCAGCCATGCAAGTTTATCAGTTTGAAAGAGTTGCCTAGACCAAACACAGTCATTGGGGCAAGAGGTAGGCAATGATTGCCTGTTCATAACTAACCTATCCATGGATTGTGGAGAAGAACCAGCCAGAGAACTGTAATAGACTTTCTGTATAGCTTTTAAACTAAGATGCTGTTTTCAGGGAAACTTACCCTTTTATAATATGTAGTTGGTTTCAAAGATTAAAGTGAATTTTAATTTAATGCTAAGAGAATAGTGCTTAGTAGAGGAAGTTTCAGGTGTCTAAGAGTTGATATTCTCCAAGTGTAAATACAGATATTTCTAGCGTAATGCCTAAGGCATTTGACTACTAACCAGAGGTCTGGCGGTTCAAACCCACCAGCTATTCCTGGAAAGGTAGGTTGGGCAATCTACTTCCGTACTGATATCGCCTTGGAAACCCAAGGAGGGGTCGCTATGAATCATGTCTGACTCAGTGGCACATAACAACAACAACAGTTGCTATAGGTATCCTGAAGTGAAAAATTAGAATTTTGTTATGTTAAGTTGCTTAGTTTAAAGATTAAGCAATAAGCTGTTGAGTAAATACCACTGAAAACTCAATCCCAATGTACTTTTTATTTCCTTAGTAATTTTTGTCTGTTTCTTTAAGGAGGAGATAGACCTCTGGCCCTTCTTAGTTTCCAAACAAAATGAAGTTATTTTACTTGCTTGGGACAGGTTAAGACATTAAGATTAGGAGTTCCTCACTTCCTAGTCTTCTGTTCCTTAGTTTTTACCATTTCTAATTTTTAATACATCAGGGTAAGATAACAATTTGTGTCTCATCACTTGATTTAAAAAAAAAACAAAAAAACTTTTATTGTTCCTACAAGAAAGCCATATTTGTTCACTGTGAAATCATAAAATAAACAGAAATAAAACACCCACTCCCCATCTACCCTCCCAGAGATGAGTTGTGTGCATGATTTTAAATCCTTGTTTATGTAGTCCTACATGCACAGGTGGTTATTTTACAAAAATCAGATCATACTATATATGCACATGCAGAATTTGGCATTTAATCTCAAGAGGTTTAAAGATAACTTCTGCTATCTCCATTCACCCATGAACTCCAGCTAAGAATTTTGTACCTTTGCTTATTCTATAACACTCTCCTCAGTTCTGTTCTCCCAGCTATCCAAGATGGCTCTTTTCATTTGAACTGATTCATCTCTCAATATATTTTGAAATGAGTAAAATTTGGAGTATGTCTAGAACTTACGTATATTACATCAGGTAGCCTAACATACTGTCTTAGTCAAATGAAGTGCCTGATCTTTTAGTTTAGTTAATGCAAGTTTTTTTTTGTTGTTATTTTTCTTATAATATTAAGGTAGTGTTATTGAATAGATCATCTGATTTTTTGTTTTTATGTTCCTCTTTGCAGCAATCTGCAGAGCGCTGTGTGAGCACATTGCTTGATCTCATCCAGACTAAAGTAAATTATGTGGTCCAAGAGGCGATTGTTGTCATCAGGGACATCTTCCGCAAGTATCCCAATAAGTACGTCCAAATATTTGTGTGTTTCTGTGGAAGGTTGGGCAACCTACTTCTGTAGTGATACTGCCTCAAAACCCAAGGAGTTGGGTCCGACTCAATGGCAAATACCAACAACATGTTTTTTTTTAATTTTTATTTTAAGGGGTTGTTTTACATTCAACGTAATGTGTACATTTGGTTTCATTCCCCATTTTCCATGTCCAACCCCAACCTAGACTCCTCCCTTCCCTACCCTATAATCCTCCCCTTGTGCCCTTCACATTCATGTACTCCTGTTTGTCCTGCATTTCCTTAGTTAGAATGACAACAACAACATGTTTTAATTAAGGTACTTTGTAATTGGCTAAGGAGGATTATTCTTTTCAGTGTAACTGATCATAATAGGATATTTTATTAAAAATTAGACATAGGTAAGGTAGTTAGCACAGGAATTAAAACCTGATTTTTCACTTTGTTACTTTTTGAAGAATTAAATCTATGTCTGACTGTATACTACTGTCTGTTCACGTATTTTGAAGTTAGCATAATCAGGTTCTTTGGTAAAATTACCATTAAATTGGATTAACTTTATACTCTAGTTGCCTCTGGCATAATTCCTGTTTATGCTGTTATCCAGGAATATTTAATGATAATGCCCCTTTTTACTTTCAGAAATGTTTCAGTTTGAATGATAAATTATGTGATCACCTTTCCATTTAGAGATAGGAAGATGACAGCTGCACTGTTCACTTTACATGTTACCTAGTTCTTTGTGGAAAATTACAGAACATGTAACAATAAATTATCACAGTCTTAGGCCTTTTCTGAGTATTGTAGCTGTTCCCATACAGATATGCAAAAATCTACATTTTTTTTCTCCACAAATTTTTGAAATTGAGGCCTCTTAGTTTACAAAGCAAAAATGCTTTTTTAGGTTTGATTTTGGAAGCAAACCATTAAAGAATCTGAAAGAGTGAAAGAAAAACAGATCTTGTGAGCATCCCAAAAGTCTCATTTTGCTTTGTGATCATAGAGATGATCTTCTGCCTAAGGTTTTGATTAGTCTTTAAAGTATTAAGTGTGCTCTGAAATTGGTAGAAATAGTTTAGCAAGGTAATGGTTTATTAAGCATTGTATATATATATTTTAAAATTTTAGAAAAGGTGTTTTTGGAAAGAGCACCATATACTTTGACCATCTTCCTAGAAAAGGGGAGTGTTTGCTGGTGGAAAGGGAAGGGAAAATTTCTGACTAGTTAAGAGTCACTTGTTGATTTGGGTAAAGACAAAGGCAATATAACAACCATGTGTGACCAGCACAATGATGACAAAGAAAAGAAGGACACAGAAATGTGCACAGAAGATACAGACAACAGAGGCAAATATTATTCATTCACAATACTGCATTACCAGTGGCAGCAAACACTAGTCTATAGGTAAGTGCATAGACAGGTAAGAAGATCAGGCATGGGTAGGTGAACAAGAATATACCCATGACCAAAAATAGATTTGGCTGAAAATATTCTTACATATGTATCTGTGCTACAAAAAAATCCATATACATTACAGAAGTAGCAGGGGACAAGGTTGGAGAAGCTTCTTAGAGACACACACACACCTCGAGGGAGAGAGTCACAGGGCCTGTGGGCTCTCAGGACCATGGTCTCAGGGGGCATGAAGCTCATTTGGCACAACATAGTACATAAAAATCTTGTTCTACATCCTACCTTGGTGAGTAGTGACTGGAGTCTTAAAAGCTTTTGATTGGCCATCTAAGATGCAAATATTGGTGTCCCCTTGTCTGGAGCAAAGAAGATTGAAGGAAATCAAAGTCATATGGCAACAATTAGTCCAAGGATATGATGGACCACAGGGACCTCAGTCTCACGACCTTGAGACCAAAAGATGCAGGTGGTGCCTGACTACCAATGCCAGTCATTCAGAAAGGGATCAAAATTGGAGATCCTGTTCAACAAAGCTGGTTATTTAAAAATTTATTTTTAAAAAAAGTGTATTATTTTCAGGGGGGGAAAAATGGAGATCCTGGATAGAGTGAGAGGAAAAATGTGGAACAAAATTCAAAAACACAAAAATGACCAGAATTATTTGTTGGATTGAGACTGGTGGAGACCCTGAGACTTTGACCCCAGGTTATTCTTCGGGCTAGAACTGTACTCACTTCCATGGATTGGCTCTCGGCCCAACAGTAGAAAGACCTACAGGCAGAACACCAACCCCAAGGAGATATACTCACCTACCCTAGGGAGATGAACGCCTTAGATCAATCAACAATGAGATATCAGAAGGCAGTATTTGCATAGAGGGAAGGTGGGACAGAGAGGAATGCATAGATAAGGGCACAGGAAGGGGGCCTCACAGGGAGGAGATGGGAAGAGAGCTTTTTATTGTTGGGATTGTGATGGGGCCTTGAAACCAAATGTGCACGAACTGTTGAGAATAAAACAAATATGCATTATAAATTTGTACTCAAATCACAATGAGAAAATTAGAAAAGGGGGATGTTGGGCTTCTGAACCTCCTTGGGTTCCCGAGGTGCTATCTCAGGTGATACCTCTACGGAAGTAGATCGCCCAGTCTGCCTTAGGCACTATGCCACCAGAGCTCCTTGATTAAGGATAGGGATGAGTATCTCAATATGATTTATAGGGAAATGCATCCATTTCTTGTTTATGTTAATAATGACTTGTTACAGTTTAATTTTAGGAAAGAACTATCAAGAGCCTGGTTTAATCAGTGGAAGTAAGGCAAACAATTAAGTGTACTGGTAGCATAGTGCCTAAGGCACTTGACTGCTAACCAGAAGGCTGGAGGTTCAAACCC